TCTGGTTTCTAACTGTCGTACCCAGAATCCCCCAAAGACCACCAAGAGACTGAATCCGTTGCAAAAGCAAAGAGTCTTTTTACTATGCATTAACTTGGGACTCTCCATCCGTCTGACACAGCAGCAGAGCAGGAGAGACCCCGAGTAGCCAGGGGCAGGGTGTGTGTGAAGCAAGGGGAGTTTGGGGTCTATTGGCTACATAGAAGCAGACTCGGGTTTGATGTTTTTCTCCCATCTGGAGGTGCTGTCCTTGGTCAGTTTGCAGCTGCAAGAAAACTATTATCTCTTTTAGCAGTTGTTGGGGTGACTACATATTTTCTTTATGCTGACCTTGCTGGCTGTAACTTTTAATTGGCATCATGACCCCGCTGGCTGTAACTTTTAATTGGCATCTTTTACTGTATGAGGACATCTGGCGGGGTTTTCCTGTAACTAGAGCTAGGCTCAAGGTTGGGGGCTCAAGGGCATATCGTACTGTCCCAGGGGCCTACATTCTGTTGGGTATTTTCCACAGCCTGTCATGGCTGCAGAATAGTTATGGCAGGGTTCTGGGCAGGGCCTTGGGTTCTTCACTGAGCATGTGCCTTGGAGTGGCACTTCTTCCACAAGCCAAAGCAGGAGTGATACCTGATCTTGAGCTGGGCCCTCCAGAACCGTTTCCTTTTCATTTATTGTATATAAATGCATAATATGTGTGTGTGTGGAGTGTGCATAGCACAGCATACATGGGGAGGTCAGAGGACAACCCTGAGGAGTTCTCTCCTTCCACTCTTAGGCGGTGTGGTAGTTTGAAAGAAAATGGCCCCCAAAGGGAGTGGCACTATCAGGAGGTGTGGCCTTGTTGGAGGAAGTGTGTCACTGTGGAGGCGGGCCTTGAGGGCTCATATGTGCTCAAGTCACGCCCAGTGAGACAGCTTACTTCCTGTTGCCTGCAAGTTGCAGGACTCTCAGCTCCTTCTCCCTCACCATGTCCGCCTGCACACCGCCATGTCCCACCATGATGATAATGGACCGAACCTCTGAAACGGTAAGCCACCCAATTAAACGTTTTCCTTTGTAAGAGTTGTGGTCTGAGTTAGAAATCCTAACTATGGCATGTGCGTCGTGCGGGGCTTGAATGCAGCCTCAAGGCTTTGCACTGAGTGACTCGACCTTCCGAGCCAGCTCACCAACCCCACCCTATTCTCTTTATAAGTTAACAGCTTCAGGCATTTCACAGAAGTAATGGGAACTGACCATTGTATCCTCCCGGGGGACCTGGGCAGAGCGTCGTGCCGACCATGGCACGTCTCTGTGCTTGTGCCGACCGTGGCACGTCCCTGTGCTTGTGCTGACCACGGCACGTCCCTGTGCTTGTGCCGACCATGGCACGTCCCTGTGCTTGTGCTGACCGTGGCACATCCCTGTGCTTGTGCCGACCATGGCACGTCCCTGTGCTTGTGCCGTGCCTTAGTCCTGGCTCCTGCAACAAAGCACCAGGGGACGGATGGTTTATAAACAAAATTTTATTTCTTGCAGTTCTGGAGTCTGGGAGACTGAGATCATGATGTCAGCACATGGGAGCAACTCAGGCCACTTTTCAAAACTGTCTCGAGCCTAAGCCTCTGCTCCATCTCTTCCCTGGTGACAAGTGCCCTGACCACAGACCCCCCCAAAGCCACAGGTGCTTGCCCTGAAGCCCTGTGCTCACTTTAATCCTCACAGCTCCTATGTGCCACTCCATTCTGTGTGTGTGTGTGTGTGTGTGTGTGTGTGTGTGTGTGTGTGCATGTAGAGTCTGGACACTAACTTTGGGTTTTGTTTCTAAAGTACTGTGCTGAATGGTTTTATGTCAACTTGACACGAGCGAAAGTCATTTGAGAGGAGGGAGCCTCAATTAAGAAAATGTTCCCATAAGATCGGGCTGTACGCAAGGCTGTGTTGGGCATTTTCTTAATTAGTGATTGATGGGGGAGGGGCTATCCCATTGTGGGTGGTGCCACCCCTGGGCAGGTGGTCCTGGGGTCTATAAGAAAGCAGGCTGAGCAAGCTATGAGTAAACAGCACCCCTCCATGGCCTCTGCATCAGCTCCTCCCTCCAGGTTCCTGCCCCGCTTAAATTACTGACTCCCTTTGATGATGAACAGTGATATGGAAGTGTAAGCCAAATAAACCCTTTCCTCCCCAGTGTGCTTTGGTCATGGTGTCTCATCACAGCAGTAGTAACCATGACTAAGATAAGCACCATAAGCACCATCTACTTATTATTTTGAGACAGGGTCACGCTGGCCTGGAGCTCACCAAGTAGGCTAAACTGAATGGCCAGGGGCCCCCTAAGATCCCCTTTCCACACCTCTCAAACTCTGGGATTACAAGTGTGTACTGCCACACATGGCTTCTTCTTTTTTTTTCAACCAGGGTCCTGGGGATTGAACTCAGGGCCTTGTGCTTGCGAGACATGCACTTTACCAACTGAGCCACCCACCCTGCTCCCCTTATTCTCAAACCATCTCCTTCTTTGCTTCTCCTCTGCTTTCCCCACCAGAAGGATGGGGCTTTGTTTTGTCCACCGCCCAGAACAGAGCCTGGCTCATCAAATGGCTGGCGCTGTTGAGCAGGTAACGGACTTCTTTTTCTCTTCTCGAACTCTGGGGTCTTGATTATCTGTCCTGAGGTACCATGCTGGTGCAATGCCTTGTCTGGCTTCCTCTTACCCACCCCGGGCTTCTCAGTATTGCACATTTCACGTCACGATTCTCATCTGGTCATTTGTTTTCCCCCAGAAGGAAAAGGATAGCTTTCCTGCCTGCTGTGCAGAGGCAGATGCCTGGAGCTCTGGTCCGGAAGTTAGAGGGCTGGACTGGAATGTTCTTGCAGACCCTTGGGCAGCGTCCATGCAAGTGCTGGTTGCCATGGTGGGTAACCTTATTTGTGCCATCTGAACAGATGGCACCAGCATCCTGGCTTTATATAAATGTTAACTGTGGGGGCTGCAGGAGACAGAGCAATTAGAAGCCAAATGGAAAATCCCAGAGAAGGCGGGCCTAGGAGACCGTAGAGGGCAGCTAAATAAACAGACCAACCAGCTAGGAATCACTGGGGGCCCATCACGGTCCCAGGGCCCTGTCCTTTTTCTCCCTACCCCTCAGAGGTTCAGCCAGCTTTGGTAAGGTGATAAAAGAAGCCATTGACCCGACAGGTGCCAGCATGGGGTGGGGTGCATGCTTCATCCTACCCCTCACTTGTTCCTTAGCTGATTCCTGCTACTTGTCTATTTATCTGTATGCAGAAGTCATTAGTATGCCATTCTTGGACTGGGCATTCTGAGGGCCCATGAGAGAGCAAGAGGGAACATTAGCCCTCATGGGTGCACCCCAAAGGGAGGGCAGGCCTGTCCCCAGGAGAGACAGCTGCCTACCTAGGCACAGTACAGCAGGATCCTGGACAGGGGCCGCTTTGGCTGTTTACACACACATCTCAGCAGAGTTCACAGCCACGTGGACTTCTACCACAATACACCTGCCTTGTACCACACAGGCCAAGATGGCCAGGGGACAGGACACAGTCCGTGAGTGCATGCGTTTACATGCCAAGTTGCTAAGTCCCCAAAGGCAGTACAAATGCTGGCAGGCAAGGTGGAGCTGGGACGTGGACAATGGTCAATGAAATGAACTGTAGCTGCTTAAAATACGAAGTTAGCAGCGCTGGGCTGTGGACAGTGCCTGTGAAGGAGACGATCTCATAGACAGCCTTTCCTTAGGGATCCCAAAGAGTGGAGCTGGGTCCTGCAAACAGAGAACACACTGCAGCGAGAAGGCCTTAGCCATCTTCACCAGAAACAAGATGAGGGGGGATCCCCGAGGAACTGGTAGAGTTGGTGCTAGGAGAGAGGTGCTTCTTTTACAGAGTGAGGAAGGTGGCAGGGCCAGGAGTCACTTCTTGGTTCCCTTGTTGCCTTGACACGCCTGTCACTTTGCCTCCAGAGACCACCTGCCTCTCCTGAGCACCAGCCTTCTCAGGGACACACTGATGATGGCCACTGACCTCTCGGGCTCCTCATTCTGGTATTCCAGGTCTCTTCCAGCAAGTTTTGTCCCTCTACCCACCTCTTCCCATGACTGCCTTCAACTTTGGGCTCCAGCAGCTCTGTTATTGGAAGCGTGCCCTGCTGAACCCTCATCCCTCCGGGTGTGCAAGGTGGAGTCCTCCCCAAGTCCTCAGTAAGCCCATTGACTTTCCTTGCTGCCAAGGTGGGTGCTTACCACCTCAGAGAAACTGGGTACATTTACCTATGGCAGCAAGTAGGGTGTGGTGGCCAAGCTCTGGTCTGTCATCCTGCAGGATGGCCTCAGCTCCCTAGGACTTCGGAGTCAACCTGAGAAGCTGCAAGCCTTCTTGAGACATGATCCCAGAGTTAGATTTCCTGGTCATCAGTTACAGGCCTTGGGTAGGAAGCCCTCTCTGTCTCCATCTCCTCATTTGTACAGTGGAGATACCAGTAGTACCTACCCAACAGCTAACATACAGGCCAAGACTTCAGCATACCACCAGGCACCCAATTGCTCCATAAATATTTTTCTTTCTGGCTTCATTACTTATTGTTCTGAGGCAGAGTCTCACTCAGTAGCTCAGGTTGGTCTCAAACTGATGGTGATCCTCCTGCCTCAGACTCCTTCCTGCTGCTGACTACAGGGATAGGTCACCACACCTGATGGTGCTTCTATTACTAGCGAATACATGAACACCACTACGGTTGCATACTTGGTGGTCCTTGGTAACATCCTGAGCTGGTCATTCAGCCATCATTCATTCATTCACTCATTCACTCCCTGAATGTCAGCTGGTTCTTCCCGCGCATTGGAGACAGTGCAGGTCCCGAAAGCGTGAAGTTGAGGGAGATAAACTTTGCTCTCAGATGGTGGGTACAGGGGTCAGGAGAACTGCTGGATGAGGACCTGTCCTGCTTCTGTGGACCCTGGAGCTGTGGCTTTCAAAGACCAGCAGACGGGAGCCAGACAGAGTTAAACTTCCCTTCTGTTTAATTATGGTAATAGAAAATGACAACCACAGCAAGAAAGTTAACATGGGAGGTGTCACCGCCACACTTCGGAAGAGCACACTGAAGTCTTATATCAGCAAAGGGCCTCCCCACTGCAGCAGAGGCCAGCAATACACGGGGGAACTGGGTACCTGGGTGGGGAGAACCTGGAACAACAGTTAAAATAATGTCATGTCACCTACATGTGTTTACAAGCTGCCCAGGAACACATCACAAAACACAGAAGCTTGGCTGATGCTCTCCACACACAGACCTGGAATCGGTGGGTGGCAGGTGATGAAGGAGAATTCCAGAAGAATTTAGACAGTAGAAAGAGTTAGTATGCCTGCAGCTTTGGGGAGCAGGGCTGGAGGGCACGGGGGAGGGGGGTCAGAAAGGAGACTTGGATTTTCTGACACCTGTTCCTGTTCCCCAGTTTCCTTGTCCTCATCAGAAACTCTCCACCAATTGTGCTCCTCAGGCACATGATAAGGGACAGACGCTGGAGGTCCTGGACGCACAGTCATTGGTGGGGGACAGGTTCAACCTCGGCATTCTGAGTATATTGTAGGGTTGTCTCCACACAGGTAGGGGTCTTCCCAAAAGAAAAGTCACGTGGGCTTCCAAGGTCCAGTCCCGCTCTTGAAGTTTTCTCAACTTGGGGCGGCCACTGTGCTCACATTTGCTGCAGTCCACACGGAGACGCATGCACGACTGCTGGAGCTTTTGCAAACCCCCCATTGCTTTGGACTCTTAGGTCTAAATGCGGTCTCCCATCTTCGGCACTGTTGGCATTTGGGGGCTGGATAGCAGTTGGCCACGGGGTCTGTCTTGTGTGTGGATGAGCAGCACCTCTGGCCCCCACTCACTAGATATCAATAGGTCCTCGCTCCTCTGTAAATTGTGATGAGAATGGGCTCTAGGTATTGCCAAATGTCCCCTGGGGAACCAAGGTGTCCGAGAGGAAGAACCACAGGAATCTTGTGGCTGGGTGATCAGGGGACAAGACTCTGTTCTTCTGTTGACCAGTCCCACCCCGCAATGTCCCCAGCCTGCGAGTCTAGAAAACACAGAAAGAATCCAAGAGGCAGACACAGCGACTCGGGCTACTCCACCAGACAGAGGGCTCCTGGTAGAACCGGAGCCCCGAAGTGCCCTGTGGTCAAAGCATGCACATTCCCTGCACACTGAGCACACACGGACTTAACCCACAAAAAGGAAGGTCTGGAACCTTCTGAGGCAGAAGTTGGCTGAAAAACGAACCAGAAGCTGAGGCCATTTGCCTTCTCAAGGCTGTGGCCTAGGCAGGCACAAGGACACCACCATGCCATGTTGTCCTGGGCAGGGTGCACCCACACAGTCTACCCAAGGTCTGAGCCCTCTGAGTCCCCTCTCTCTCTGCAGCCCTCCTCTCTCTACCTTGTCTGTGTGTGTATGTGTGCACACATGTTCATGTGGTTGCATGTAGAGGTCAGAGGTTGACATCAATCACTTATCCACCCCTACTTTAAAAACAAAACCAACCCCCCACCAAAAAATCAGGGTCTCTCATGGAATCTGAGCTCACCTTTTTGGTTAGAATAGCTGGCCAGTGAGCCCCATGGACCTGCCTATCTCTACAATCCAGTGCTGGGATTACAGACATGCACCGCTATGCCCAGACCTTTTATTTTATGTCGATTCTGGGGATCTGAACTCGAGTTCTCATTATTTATCCCCTGAGCAATCTCCTAGCTCTCTGGTTTTATTTCCTATCAAAACTCACCAGTGACATCTACAGCGAGTCAGGAGAAATGATTCAGACTTACAACATGTGTACCCCCATCTGTCCTGACTGATGACAGGGTTTCGTCACCCTGGTAGTAATGTGCATCACCCTTAGCCCTGTGGTTTGTGTGGTTCAGCCCCTCCCCCATGACACTTCTTGCTCAAGCTCTGATACCAGGAGGTGACACAGGGAGTGCCCTGGGCTCATAATTCACTCCCCTGAGCTTCTTAGAGTGGCCTCACCTCTGCCTGCATCTCTGGGCTCTCCAGCTCAGCATGTTCTCCTCCATACTTGCACTGAGTAGTCACTGGGGATAGAGGGTAGGGGGGCTTGGTACAGGTACACACGTGCCATTCAGTCTCCAGCTGCTCCTCCCTGGCCCCGACCTGGGAAGTCTATGAGCTGTCAGTAGGACAGGCAGCAGGAGAGATTTCACTACCCATTGATCCCAAAGGGAAGCCATGCTCCTGCATGAGAGGACCAGAGTGCAAGGAGCACACATGCAGCCAAATGGCTCTGGCTCCCAGACAGATCCTGATAAATGCTAAGGTGGGCTGGCAGACATCCACCCAAGATGCTGGCCTGCTGCCTCTCTGGCTGTGTGGCACTGGCCTGCCCCCTTTCCCGCTCCCTGGGACCCTAGAAACTCATGCAAGGAGGAACAGGGCTCCCTCCAGGCAGGGAAGGGACTCATTAGTCTCTCTAACAGGGTTTCATGGACCACAGGACATTCCAGAAAATGCAGTACTTCTCCAAGGGCCAGCTATACAAAAGGCCAGGCCCTTCCTGTCAAAGTAAGGAGGTTCTGGGGTCCACCTTATCCAGGGCGAAGCCAATGGGGTTCTGGCTGGGATCCCAAAGAAGTTACACAATCCCTGCTCGGGAGAGCTTTGGGGCTCACAGAAAGACTGTAGTTCAGCTCAGGTCAACTTGCCACACAGGTCCGCACTCTGACCTCAGTGCTGTCCACTGGAAGCCTTCTAATGTGCAACTTTTTAGGGCTTTGGGGCCCTTTCTACATGCACCCAAGAAACCCACCTCGGGGACCCTTCTTGGAAACTTACATGGAGACTCTAGGTCATTCTTGAATGGGTGGGGTAAGGACCACACCTCTTGAGTCTAGACAATGCCGAGGCTGCCCCATTCTGATGGTCTGAGACCCAAGGATGGCCCAGGCCATTCCAAACTGTGACACCTTGGAAAATACCTTCTGAAGATGCAAGTCCAGTTCAAATGTGCCTCAGTGGTGCCATCAGCCTCAAGGCGGGACAGTACCACAGGGAGAGCCAGCTGAAGAACCTAGCTTCCCAGGTTCCAATCCCAGATCCTCACTTCCATGCTGTGTGGCCTCAGGAAAGTTACGCCACTGCTCTGAGCCTCTGGCTTCCTTTTTGCACACTCGGGCACTGCTGCTGTGAGGGGACAAAGGGACGAAGGCTGTGCACAGAAATCTAGCATCGTGCCTGTTCACAGTACTCAAGTACCGAGCTCAGGCCTGTTCGTCCCTTTCCTGACGACCAAGACAGAAGGAAGCAGAGACAGGAGGGAGAGTGTGGTTCACCCTGGCTGGTACCCGTCATTTACTCCTCACTGTCATCTGTGGTGAGGAAGTTCGGATAGGAAACTGCAGGGACAGAATGACAGAAAGGGACCAGTTGATGCCATATGGACAAAAGGGGCTTCCAATGCTCATGACCATCTGTGGCTCTGACCCAGGAGAGCAGGAGAGACATCAACACGGGTTTAACTGACTGTGTGTGTGTGTGTGTGTGTGTGTGTGTGTGTGTGTGTGTGTACATACAAAGCGCTGACATGCCAATACTTTACAAGACTAGGAGCTGTCCTCATCATTTCTGTCCCTTCCTCTCTCATCACAGCAGGCACAGATCCCTCCTCAACTTGCTGTCTCCATGGAGACAAGGTAGGGGATGGACTACTGGCTACTACTCCCCTGGGGTAAATCAGATAGCACTGGGACAGAGGTGCTATGTGAAGACATCACAGCACACTCCTGCCCCCATCCCTTGCCTGGGTTCTCTCATGAGGATGTCCCTCCTCTTGCTCTAGGGAAAGACTTGGGGGTGTGATGAGGAGGGTCCTGCTAGTGAGGCAGGAAGTCAGAGCAAACATCTGGCAACGTCCAACATCAGCACACAACAGCTACCTGCCAGCCCAGCATCCTGCCCTGCTGATGATCCTAGGCATCTTAGCAGACACCCTATGCCCCTACTTCTTGGTTACAGAGGTTGGACCAGTTCTCAGTACTAACAGCTTCCCCTGGGGCCAAAGCATTTGCAAGTATGCTGGATACAGTGATGGATGTGGGGAGTGAGACCTGTGAGGGAGACCACAGCATCTATACACCATTTTACAGCATAGACACTGGATGACCTGGGAAGTCTCCACATTGAACACCTCCTGGGGATTCCATCTCTGCCTCAGTTGCTGAGGTGGGGATACGCTCACTAGAGAGCTTGGCTAGGGTGGAGACCAGACTCAGCCAGATTAGGGAATGCCTTGCTGCTCCGACACCATCATTATCCAACCACAGGATCATCATGTCCCTTTGCCATGACATCTGTCCAATGATGAAGGGACACGACTAATTCATTTTTAACTCCCACACATCCTCGGAGAAGAGAGGGTGACTTTGCTTGGGTAGTGAAGGGTTAACTGCCTGGGGGGATCTAAATTTTGAAGGCATCCTCTGCTTGTTTTAAAAAGATCAGAGCCTTCATCCTAGTCCCTGGATTTTCTGATGCACTTGGGTCCTGCAAGGGTCCAAGTGTCTGGTGGCAAAGCACTGTCTGTAAGTCAATTTCACAACATCCTATGACCCTACAACATCACCATCAATATTCCAAGTGGTGGGACACAAAATTAAAAGGTGGGAGTCCTAACTTGTGAGAGTTCTTCTTGTCCCAGTACCCACACACTGGGTTCAATAAGTCTGCAGAAAATAAGACATCCAAGTGACAATTGCCTGCTGGGCAAGTGTCAACAAACCAGGTCTACATTTTTTTTTAACCTAATAGGATGCTCAACCTGTTCTTGGGTTCTAGGACTGACTGAAACTTCAAGAATTGTTCAGTCTGTCATTGGAAGGACTTGGCCCATCAAGCTTTTAGGGGCTGGAAGCACCAACTTCAAGGCATTGCTTCCATCAGCTCAACCACAACACTGGGATATTCTAAATCAGAACTGCCTGGGGGAAGTCACAGATGCAAAGTGGCTGCCCCTCCAGAGGCCATTCAAGCCTAGATCTAGAACATAGGTGCGTCTCCAGTGGCCGGGAGCAAGATGGAGCCACATGGATAGCCTTGCCGTGTGAGTCCAGTGCAAGAGGGGCTTCCCCGCAGCTTCAGCATCCCTGTGCCTTCAGAAGGTGAAGGCATACACCACCCCTACCACCACTATGTTCCCCAATGTTGCTATGATGGCAATCCATAGCAGAACAGCATCGTTGGAGGAGCGAGGAGACTCCTCTGGCTGGCCGTGGCCATTGGAGGTTGCGTGGACGTTGGCCGGGGAGCTGAACAGGGAGTATTCCGTACTGAAGTCCTCGTTGGGTGAGTCCATGAACGCTCCTCCCATCATGGGCAGCTGTAAGGAGAAGAGACAGAATGAGTCAGTCCTCCCCAGGGGAGGAGACCACACACTCCTAGAGCGGATCAGCTCAACAGGCCTGCAAGGAAGTGCAATTCACAAGGCACTAACGCACATTTTAATGCCAAAAAACAAATGCTTCAAGCTGGCTGTGTACATGCCTGTAATCCTTGACACTTGGGAGCCCAAGCAGGAAGATCACAGTTTAAGGCCAGCTTGGGCTACAGAATGAATTCTAAGTCAGCCCAAACCCAACCCAAACCCAATCAACCACAACCCCTGAGCATATACATCAAGCTTTATGGCAGACACTCCTGAGCCCATTTCACACACAGGGCTTGATGGATCTTACCCCACAAGCTCCCACACCCCATCACCCTGTGCCGGGCCCTTCCAAACCCACATGGGATGCAAAACACCTTTATCCCTATTCTAATTTTAAAAGTGAATACATGTTAGGCTAGGGGTGGTGACTCACGCTGGCAGTTGAAGGAAAAGAGCCGTGAGCAACATGACTGTCTCAAAATACCAAGAATAAATAAGAAATAAAAAGTAGTGATAACATAATGCCAGGGAAAACTGAAAATCATGCCTTATTTGTCTAGCTAACATTTTGTTATTTTTTTTATTTTCTTTTGTCTGTGTGTGTGAGAGAGACAAGGGGGAAGTGGTTTAAACATGCCAGTTTCTGGTTCTGAATTAAAAAGTCCACCAAACCCCGATTTTAGAAGATCCCTCTCTCCCATCCCCCACCACCCCCACCCCTTGATACATCACAGCTTCTGGGCTGGGGCTACCCAAACTGCTGCAAGCACCCTGGGGGCTTCCAGAAGGTTCTGGTGGATGCTTGAGGGAGGTTTGTAAGCATCCAGAGGGATCTGTTGGATTGAAAAATGGGTTCAACCCTCAGTGTCTTTCAGGGTAGGCACAGGAAAGCTCCAGAGTTCCAACAGTGTGGTCCTTGTGTTCCGGGTGTGTGAGGAGGATGCTGTGGATTTGAGATCTGAGCTGCATGTGAAGATGCCGGAGTCTGAGTGCCTTCCCCCCAAGTCTTCCCATTCTTCAGCACAGACTAGGAAAGCTGCCACTTAAAATCCACGCATCAGACTCCAGAACCAGAACCTCCCATGCATCTCGATACAGATAGAAGAATGACGATGTGTTCAAACAGACCTACTGTCTTTTCACAGATCCAATGCCTTTGAAAAGCTTTGAGCTTCATCCTGGGCCATGAGCTGCAAGATGGCCCCACAGCCCTTAACAGTCCCCCCCTCTGATGGCAGCATGACCAAACCACCTTCTGCATGTCCCAAACTGGCATCGCTGCCAGCCTGTCACTCTTCCCCACTGGGTGGGCAGGAGAGGCTGACAATCTCTGCATGGTTTTATTGAGGGCTGATGGAACATGATTCACCCATGTAAAGCTGTACCCCAAAGTTTTCAGGGTCACATGTGGTTCAGAATACCTACTGGATTTCATTAATACGCTCTTGAAAATCACAAAGGAGTGAGTGACAGATACATTATCTTTCTCCAGTATATCTAACATTGCAGTGACTTGCGGACAAGTCCCCACAGCCGTGATGACTGACAAGCAGCTAAGCACATCCCTGCTGGCCCAGGCTCTGAAGTAACAGCTCATTTCACACTCCCCAATGGGGCTCCTGCAAGAGCACGTCAGCTTCCATTTGAAGACCCTCTTGCACTGCCAGTTCTGGATTCAGGCGCAGGGAGTGTGGCTTTCATTGTGACCTCCGGGTCTAACAATGCTTGAGCTGCCTGTCAAATGAACTTCCAGGTCACTGCTAAGTTGGGAAAACTCATCTCGATAGATTACTTGGTTGAATTGAGACAGGGAAAGTCCTTTTAAAAGACGCCTTTGACTCTGATTGTCTGAATTCACGCAAAGTAATAGACTTTTGGCAAGATAAGCTCTGGGAGACAACTGTCCCACTGTCAGGAAGATGCCTCATCTACAGACTAACAGGATGACTGTCTCTTGGCAGTTCACTTCTGGCAGGAAGATTGCAACATGGTTTGCCTTCAGTTTGGGAATTACAGCAGCACCTATTGCTTAATGAAAAAAAAAGTATTTCCAGATCTTGCAAAGCTTTTGCAAACTTGGTTCAAGGGAAGGAAGAAAGAGTGGCAGGTGAGGTGTGTGCATATGAGTGCGTGAGTGTGTATGTGTGTGTGTGTGTGTGTGTGTGTGTGTGTGTGTGTGTGCACATGCATGCATTCGCGTGTGCATGTGCATGTGTGGTGACAGGTTCCTTTCTGTAGTGAAGAAGAAAACTGTCCAGACCTTTGAGGGAGAGGTACTAGACAATTTTCAGGGTTTGGAACTGCGAGCAAAAAAGATGGACTCTGTGGTAGATGATTGCTTATTGTGGGAGTGAAGACCACATTCTTCTTTGGATCCTCCAAAGATGTGACGTTATCACTGTTAGTGGGTCAACCCCCATAGCTCCAGTGTCCCTATTATTAAGTGTCAAAGTAGGGTGACTGAGTATAGATTCTTGCCCAGCATCACCCTTGATGCCACATGAACTAGGATCAAAGGCAAAAAGGATCAAGTTGACCCCTGCCAGCAAGGAAGAGGTGAGCTCTGGGTAAGCATCCATCTAAGAAAGAGTGCGCACAGGTGAGGACGGGTGTGACGTCTCTGGCACTGCCTTTAGCATTCCAGAACTTGGGTTGCGTTGCACTGTCACACACAGGGGAAGGGAAAGGTTCACTGGCCTGAGGGCGACTGTACATGTAGCAGACTTTCCTTCAGTCCAGAAGGGGTTCCCAGTGGGAAAAACCTCCTGACGTTTCCAGAAAGAGAAGCCTATGGAATGTGAGGAAGGCCTCTGTGCCTGACCTGCAGCATGCTCCAAGTCTAATGTTGAGGTCACATACCGGCTGCTCCCTGGATTCAGTGAAGGCATGGCTCTTACAACACTAGACCTGTGAGGTCATCCAAGAATTTCCAGATGTGCACTTTAGTAAAGTGCCACCAAGTTTTTACAGGACACTCTTGTGGAAACACACAGCAGCATTGGATGGCATTTTAACCATCTACTTTAGGATTTAAACGGTCTTGCCACAGTTCCTGCTTGCTTTCACCAGGGCTCTCCCTATACATCATTCCTTCAAACACCTACAAGTAGGAGTAAGGATTTCCCACGTGATCGTTTGGCTTTGACTTGGAGGAGGAGAAATCAGTGGTTGTGGTGGTTTGAATAAGAATGGCCACCAGAGGCTCACACGTTTGAATGCTTGTTTCCTTAGTTGGTGGAACTGTTTGGGGAGGATCAGGAGGTGTGGTCTTGTTGGAGGAGGTGTGTCACTGAGGGTGGACTCTGAGGTTTCAAAAGACGTATGCCATTCTCAGTTAGCTCTTTCTGCCTCCTACTCACAGATAAGGATGTGAGTTCTCAGCTACTGCTCCAGCACCATGCTGCCTGCTCCCATATTCTCCGCTATGATGGTCATGGACCCTCTGAAATGGTGAGCCCCAAATTAAAGGTTTTCTTTTATAAGTTGCCATGGTCATGGTGTTTTGTCACAGCAATAGAGAAGTAACTAAGATAATGACCCTCAGTTGTCTATGTCTGCCACAGATAGGGTTAGAAGTAGGAACAGAATAAGGGACAGAGTTGTGAAGCTACCAAAAAAAAAAATAAGAATAGTGATGCACTTGCCTTTCTAGACAGAAAAAACAAGCTCCATCTACGTGGAAGGGAAGAAAGTGTCAGAAACGGACCCAAACATGAGCAGCACTCTTTACAGGGAGATGATTCTCAAGTTTGCTGAGATTCAGTTGAAATCAGACCTTGCACAAATGGCTTATGCTTATGTAACTTCAGTTTGATCAGACTTGAGAATATATTTTCATGGCTTTGAAGTTTGGGTGTTCTTATTGTACAGCTCCTTTGTAAAAATAAAACATCAAGGCTTTGACAAAAATCCTAATTTATTGTATAATTTTCCTTTTTAGTTTAAATTTTCTGTGCATGTGTATTTTGTTCACATGTATGTCTATGTATGTATGATGTGTATTTTGTTCCCATGTATGTCACATGTATGTCTATGACCACAGAGGTCAGAGGAGAGAGTTGGATCCCCTGGAATTGGAATTATAGATGGTTGAGCTGCCATGTGGGTGCTAGGAACTGAACCCAGGCCCTCTGGAAGATCAAGTGTTCCTAACTGAGGAGATTTCTCCCAGAGTTCAGGGGAAGACATGACAAACAGTGGGGGTAATCCAAGGGAATAAATCTAAGTACACTAAGCTCTACAGTACATTCACTTTATTGCTCTGAGACAAAATTCTATCTACACAGCTTCAATTCTGTACTCATACTTAGCTCCTCTCTTGCCTGATTCCCTCTTACATCTTTCTGCAGTCCCCTCTAAGTGCTATCTTAATTCCTTTGTCTTAGTTCTGCCCCATCTTGGTTTTCCTCATCTTATTCTTACCTAGTTCTTCCCCATCAGGTTCTTCCTCATCCTCCATCTTGTCCTTCTAGGTCTCCTCCAATCTAGTTCTCCCAAGTCTCTGAGGTTTACAGTTACATACCCATGCAATAGCAGTGCTCTGGCTAAGGCAAGGTCACCAGGCTTGAATTCTTACAGGGTCATAAAGGCAGACAAGAGTTTTCCTCAGGCAGTGACTGTCATGCTTTCTTTTACAACCCAAAAGGGGAGTGGTTAAGGGAGGAGGTCAACTAAGAGCTAAAATCAGTTAATATATCAGAAAAGGGGAATTTACATGCTCAAATTACATTCCTAGAGGTGGTTAGGTAAAATGTTAGGCATCTACAATGTTAGTATAAATCATGAGTAAAATAAAACTGCTTATGTTTTTTTAGGGCTTAAACTATCTCGGTATAACTCGGTTGTGGTATAACTCGGTTGTGCCATTTACTGGCAGGGCGGGGATCTCTGATAGCTGTGTCACAGCTTGATGTACCTGGTCTGCAAAAAGTCTTTTTGTTCTAAGCCAAATG